TAAATTTTTATGTTGAAACGTCTAATACATTTGATTTGGGTTTACACAATTGTAATCATATATATTTATTATGTTTTTAAGAATTTTTGTACATTTTTCAATATACATATATATCGTATTCTATTATTTTCAAAATACATGTATTGGCGTATCAAACACATGTCGTATCCGAAATATGTATCCTATCGGTGCATCATTGCTCTTTTATTTCCCTTACTGTTCAAACATAGTAACAGCGGATGGAAAACACTATATACTTACCTTAACTTGAGCAGTGGTGTAGCCAAGAGATTCACAAAATGCATCTATACCAGCCTCCTTAGTTGCATGGAAGGATCTCAAACAACTTCCTTCACAACTGATCATTAAAACAGAAAAAATATAATATGTAAGTAAAAGTTCAAAAAGGCTTAATTAATAAGTTATTTATGGTTATATGACAAAGACATACGGAAGTATTTCACCACCATTATCACATATTGAACAAACAGTATCATATCCAATATTTTGCTCTCCAACGAGATTCAGTTCATCAGATTGTACATTCTCCTCATCCTGAGTCCACAATAAATTTTGGTTGCATTGTAGGATGAACATCCTGCTAATTAAACAACTTAACATGGAAAAGGAAAGAACTGCAAAGATCAAATACAGATAAAAAGTAAAAAAAGGTCAAATTTTACATTGTACTCATGGAAGTCTTCATTTGAACATCCCTTTTCCATTAAATCACGCAGGTACTGTCCATTAAAATAAATAAAGATTTGTGATAAATATCATTTACAAAGGAATTCAAAGATACATTGTGCAAGCTAAACATCGAATAATGTATTCGTATTGAACGTGGACACATAGCTCAAAAAGTAGTATAAGATGTAATTCAACACAGTACTTTAGAAGATAAATGAATTAGATGGTAAATCATTCATATTCATGTGAATCCAAGCTTATAAACAAACCTGGGATTGCACAAAATCAAAGGAGTTAACTTGGCAGCACTAGAACCAAAACAACCTTCTATTATGCCTTTCAAATAAATGGTAATCACTTCACACAAAGGCTAATGAAAACCCAAAACAATACAGTGCTACTAAACTATAAGTCTGTCATTCTATGGGAAGAATTTTAGATTTTTGTAGGTATCATCAAAATTGTTGTGAATCTATTAGATGTTTTTAAAACTGCAGCTATCTGGTGCAGACATTGCTACCAGCAATGAAAAATATCGTACCAGTTACATTTTCAGACAATAAAACATAAAATCTCAATTACGTGGGATAAATACAATGACTAAAAACATAAAATCTCAATTACGTGGGACAAATACAATGACTAAAAACTTTAGAAATACAGAGGGACGCATATCAGTTGCTTCTATCAACTGCATAGTTTATACAGACATCTAGTGCATGCATATGGAATAGATGTATTTCTTATAATGTATTCTAATTTTATCAAAACAATGCAGGACTTCGTACCTTTGATTTTGCTAAATCTTTGTCCCTTTTAACAGCTTCTCTCATCAAACTCACATGATTTAGAATATCATTCACAGATGGTATGATATCAAATGCGCTTCAAAACATTCATAGCATTAATTAATTGAATGGAATGTGTCAGATCACAAATGTACAAAGGACAAAAGAAAATCCACACCTAAAGGCCTTCTTCAGTTTGTCCCAAATAGATAGTTGAGATTCCTCTGGATTCCTTCTTAGAAAATGTAAAAAATATACAGTGACCAAGATTGTCCTAATTGTACTTTCAAAACACTCCCTTGGTCTTTGGAGTGTTATCCAATTTCTGTCCTTTGAAAGCACTGAAATCTCGGGCTGCTCATAGGTAAGTTCAAATCTCCATCCTGTGATCTGTTTGTAAATTTTCTGCAGGCTATCATCGGTTGTGCCACGCAAAAATACTTTTTCTCCCAAGTCACATTCGGTCTCACTAATGCTAAACAACAATGTCAAACTACAAAGTGACACAAAATCCTCCTTTTCATTTTCAAACCAATAACTAGTAACAACTGGGATAATTTCACCCTCTTCATCCGATGATGCCATTAGATGTCCAAAGCTATGTTAGAAAAAGTGTGTAACAGAAAACATATAAGTTTTAGCAGTCCATCACTTTATAAGGGCATAACCTAGATTGACATACTTAAAATATGACACAGAGACAGTAAACTAAGAACATATAAAATAACACATCATTCAGAATAAAATATTCAATTTATAGCTTTTAAATGTGTAAACACAATTCATCTGTGTGAACAAGTCATTATAAAATTGTACGATTGCACTTGGCATGATTTTAAAAAGCTGGAATGCAGGATAGAAGAGAATCAGACAAAAAGAAAAACTAAACTTATAACTCCACTAGTATATTGTCCTGCATCATTGTGACATGTCCCAGGTAAAACCTTTTCAGTGTCCCATTATCTCCACCTCATGCTACTTTTCACCCATGTTCATGTTTTCCTTTTTCTTTCATCTGCAATCAAGGTTTTAATGTCTTAAGACAATACAGATTGCACACAGCCTTACTTTCAATCATATACTCATTATTATTACCAACAACTAAACATGTCAAACACTCCAACTGAAAATCATCCATGTGCAGTACCACTTTAGTTATGAAGTCAATATGTGGACCTAAACCAACATCAAAATATTAAGGTAAGAAAACAATGCACAAAGGAGTACAAAATGAAACCAGAGACTGTTACATTCCTTCTTTTTTTCCATATATAATATAAGAAGAGGTGAAGTAATCACAACTTAGCCAAACAATCCCCCACCCCTTTTTTTTAAATCAAGGTATTCCCACAAACCAAAAGACTAAAACAAAAATACTCACAATCCACAAAATCATCAAAGTAAAATCAAAATAAAACCAACCACCCAAATACCACCTTTTACATTCCACATTCTTGTCCTCAAGCATCGCACATGGATTTGCACAAACAGCTTCTATTCTTTCGCACACAAAGAAAAATCTCACAGTATTTCCCTACCCACTATTCCTTTCATTCATACTTTTGGAGTTCATACAAACCACAGTTTGAAAAAGAAATATATATATATATATATATATATATACACACACACACATATATATATATATATATATATATATATATATATATGTGTGTGTGTGTGTGTGTGTGTGTGTGTTGTGTGTGTGTGTGAACTTACAGCTTTTAGAGCACAGGAAATGGTAGAAATGTTAAGTAAGAGCACAGTCTTTCTCTGCAATTTGGGTTGATCATGAGAAAAACAAGAAGGAATAAGAGAATATGGTTATATTTTTCCTTTGTTTGAGTGAACAGAAAACTGTCTTTGTTTTCAATTTTCCTTTTTTATTCATGCATTTATTTTGTAGTGGAATTTTCATTTTTGTTGTGTACAATAATAGTAGCATGGTAAGTCCATGTTCCCAACTCACACGGGTTTCATGTTACACAAGAGTTTTGGAAGATCATGGTGGTCGGAAAATGAAAAAAAAAATTATATATATATATATATATATATATATATAATTTTAACTTATTTTATATATGTAAAATTTATTCTAGAGAGTCTCAAATATTTATTGTAAAAATAATGAGAATCTTTTAACTTAGAAAATAAAATTCGAGCATGTTTTCACCATAATGTATTAATAATCGCCCCTTGTGTGAAATCTAAATTCTAGATATTCATGTGTTATTTAATACAAAATATTACAACTTAGAATCGTTTTATTTAATTTAAATAAAATTACAAGTAATTCATGATGATATATTTATGGGAATTAACCAGTTTGAAAACTTGTTTATGATTTTAATTGATAATAGTGTATATATTATGAAAATTATTCCATAATTATAAAAACTATGTATCAACCATATATAGATAACGAATTTTTTCCATCTTTCATATTTTTTATTTTTTTAATTATATTTTTAAATATGGTAAGCCTTGTAACTATTTAAATACATATGGACCAATAAAATAGCATAATAATAACAAAATACTCATTCATTAAAAAGAGAACGATTCACACTGTTAACTCATTTTGTTTACTCTATTATTTCTCCAACATTAGCTACATTTAATTTTAAATTAAACCTATAATACATATATATTTTACAAAAGTTAAATATATATATATATATATATATATATATATATATATATATATATAATTTCAATTCATTAAGATAAATCACATAACATAATGTAAAAATAAGGTCTCTGACGACCATTACGAATTCATTAACAATCATTATAAAAATAACCCTGTCTTATTTGTAAAACCTAAAAATATAAAAGATAAAATATTAGTATTACAAGATAAACACACTATTAATTTAGATTTTTTCTATTGCTCTTATTTTTTTGACTTAATATCATATTTTTTGTTTTTACTTTTGTCCATTTTATTCAATGCGAAACTCAATTTTTTAGTGTTAAATATATTTTCAATTTTTTTGTAAATTTTGTTTAATTTGATTCTTTTTTTTATCAACATCTAAATTTTGTTCATTTTTTTCTGAAGTGACCACCTCAATATGGTAAGAAAACTAAGTGTATACAAAAACTACTAAAACATCATCCTTTGTCTGAGTGTGCTTTCTTTACAACTTTTGTATTATAATTCACCACCAATCCATTCATCACCCTCGTAATCATTTTCCATTCCAAATAAAGATATTAAACGTATTTTTATTATATTATACTGTTTTCTTGTATTTTTTTTATCTTTTAATATAAATTCATATAAAAAAATTTTTTTTTTTAAATACATTCATTAAATCTAACTAAATATACAAGTCAAACTAAAAAATAATTTAAACACGTTTTTCTTTCTTATGATTCTTTTGAAATGTCTTTAAAGAAAATAATCAATCTCCAAATTTTACAATGAACAATATCATTAATTAATCTTGAAAATATTATCTTCACATAATTAAATTTGAAACAATTAATGTTCATTTTACTTAATAATACCTCTGCATACATCACGGATAAATTCTCATAATTTTCTCTTATTGAAATTTAAGAAGCCAAAACTAAAATTCTGCAAACCTCACTCCCATAAACACTTGCAGATTATATCTTACACTCTTAGGAGCATTAATGTCATGTGATTTTCAAGAGAGCTTGTCTCAGGCTTTTTACAAGATTATTCACTGTCATGCAGTATTGTTCGTCCATCTGCAACAAAACCAAAGAAAATTAACTCAGAAAGTAAAACTATTATCTCTGCATGGACAATACATATTCTCATACCAATATTTTTCTTTAACTTTTCTTCATAGTAATTCATTCTCAATTTTCTCTAAATAGACAGTGAAGTAACAATGTTAATCAATAACATAACAGCATCACAGTGACAAACTATCATGTTATCTAAGGGAATTTAACAACGTATGATGCCCATTCTAGTTAAACTTATTCAAGGTTTCACCTTAAGAAATTATGAATAAAAATGGATGAAAATATGATTTTAATCTCTAAATTTTTAAGTAAAATTAGAATTCGTTTAAATCTAAAACTTTGATATATTTTAGTCTTCAAATTTTAATAATAAATGAATATAGTTCTTTTAAGTCAATTATTTTAAATTTTTTTATTAGTATTTAAGTTGTTTACAATATGATACATCTCGTTAAATATGAACTCAAAAATATGTTTGAAACATAAAAAGTTTAACATAATTAGATTAAAATATTATATCAATTCACTCCAAGATTAAAATATATTAAAGTTTCATATAAAAAAAAATTTTAATTTTACTCTAAAGTTTAGAGTTATTCATATAAAACACACATCAATTTTAACACAAAACCTTAAGTTTAAGGTTTGTGAATGTTGTTTTTCTTATGAACTTTATTAAATTTATTCAAACTTTTTAAAAAATGAAATTTGTAATCACCTGGGCAATGATTGTGACTTTAAGAGTGGAAGTTCCAAAGGGCAAGACACTGCTGCTAGCAAGAGAAAGATGATGATTTTGGAGCAAAGCCATGATTTTGAGCACAATGTCCTTTTGTTTGTGGCAATGGATTCCAATGAGAACCTCCTTTTCCAACACTCTTGCTTCAACATGAGGAAGTGCATGAGTTGATCTTTCTTCTTCTCTTTGCGAATATTTCTTTATCAATATTCTTGATTCTGTACTTCTCTTCCTCTTGTTCTGCTTTTCTAGCTCTATCACTCTCTCTTGAAGTTCTTTCATGTATATCATTGCTTCCCTTAGTATATAGGCCTTGTCTGTCTATAAATTCATCTTTACAAGTCAAGTTATGTATAATTTAAACATATATTTTCTCTTTTCTGTATTATAAGATGCAACAAATTATGTATAACAAAGATAGACACATCAAAACATTCATCAAATCAAAATTACAAATTAAGGTCTCACTTAGACATTACTTTATAATATATTTCTTTTGTTTGTAAACTAAATTATAAATTATTTCATCTTGAATTTTATGAAAGTTATATAAAATATTAATTTTAATAAAGAGTGTGTGGAGATTATATTATAAGTGAAACTTCATTTATTACATAAAGAATACTTTATGTATCATTTGTTAGAATGTATTTTATTACATAAGTTGATCAAAATGATTTATAATTTAATTTAAGAATGAAATAATTTTTTTATAATAATTGAAAATTGAAAAACGTATTTAACCTACAAATAAAATATTCTAATTATACTCAATCACTTTCTTTTTCTTTTCTTTCTTTCTTTTTTTATCAAAGATTCAATTAAATTCATGCTCTTTCTTTCCGTGCTCACCCTCTACTAAACCCTAAACAAGACAAAGCATAACTCTTTTTATCCTTGATAATATGATGTACTTAAAATAATATTTTTACTTTAGACAATAGGCAGAAGAATCTGATAGCTAAAGAAAATTATAGCATGTAATTAATTGTATTGTTCTGCAGGTATTGTAATGTCGCAAGCTTAGTAGGTTTGGACTATATTATTGATTAAATTTTATATACCTTAATTAATTTTTTAAATATTTTAGTTATATATTTTTAATCTCTGAATATGTCAAAGTGCTAAATTCAAATAATAATGAAACTTTTGACAGCATATAACAATGATAATCAGATTTAATTAATACAACGGAAACATGAAATAGTAATAAAATACATATTTGAGAAACTTAATCCACAATTAATGATGAAATATGAGAGATTAATTCTTAGAATAAAGGAAGAAAAAGAAAAGTGAAATAACAGTGCAGAAAGCTTTGCTGAAAAAGGTGAAAAAGTAGTCCAAAAAGTGCTGTAAAACTAAGGAAAACAGCTTTGTCTTTCTGCTACAGTGGCCTGCTTTCTCTGCAAAGAAAGCTGTTTCATTACAACTTCTCTTTCTACCATACTATGCAATGCACTTTCTATTTTTTGAAGTTCAAAACTATGCCATGGAACCATGGAATGGGTCCTCTTCACGCATGCACTTTTATCATTCATAGTTCATTGTCTTTTATCAACACTACAAACCTTCTTTAGAAAAATGTCATCAATACTTTTTTTAACATATATTACGTTATTATATAAAATTTATTATAATCTTATTTTCTGGCACACGAAATGAAAATATTCTTTGTGTATATAGACACATTAAATGCTACTCCTGTAAGATGTAGCAGTACTTCTTAAAGGGAATAAATTTCAGTAATAATCAGACAAAGAATCTGCTTTTTCTTCAGCNCGGAAACATGAAATAGTAATAAAATACATATTTGAGAAACTTAATCCACAATTAATGATGAAATATGAGAGATTAATTCTTAGAATAAAGGAAGAAAAAGAAAAGTGAAATAACAGTGCAGAAAGCTTTGCTGAAAAAGGTGAAAAAGTAGTCCAAAAAGTGCTGTAAAACTAAGGAAAACAGCTTTGTCTTTCTGCTACAGTGGCCTGCTTTCTCTGCAAAGAAAGCTGTTTCATTACAACTTCTCTTTCTACCATACTATGCAATGCACTTTCTATTTTTTGAAGTTCAAAACTATGCCATGGAACCATGGAATGGGTCCTCTTCACGCATGCACTTTTATCATTCATAGTTCATTGTCTTTTATCAACACTACAAACCTTCTTTAGAAAAATGTCATCAATACTTTTTTTAACATATATTACGTTATTATATAAAATTTATTATAATCTTATTTTCTGGCACACGAAATGAAAATATTCTTTGTGTATATAGACACATTAAATGCTACTCCTGTAAGATGTAGCAGTACTTCTTAAAGGGAATAAATTTCAGTAATAATCAGACAAAGAATCTGCTTTTTCTTCAGCTGTCTGATCATTGTCTTCATCCTAATACAACATGTTCAAATCATGTAGAAATTTTATTGTTGAAAGCAAATTTTAAGGATACTAAATTGAATGTGAATTGAGCACATTGTTATGGGCTTATTAATTAGAAGAGAAAACAATGATTTTATGTGTTATGATCGTTATGTTATTTAGCTTTCTTATTATTTCTGAGTGAGACTAGATTTATGTTTGGATTTCCAAACACATTGAAGTGTTGAAAAGTGAGAAAACTTGTAAAGAAACAAAGAACAAAATCTATGAAGAAGATCATTGAATTGAGTAGAAAAGTAACCTTCTTCAATCCAGGTATGGTGGCAGAAAGTGCTATGAACCTTTCAGTGAGTTCCTGTCTCCTTTTTCTCTCAGCCATGATGTGATCTTGAATCTCAGATGAGCTTCTATACTTCTTGGCACCTTGTTTGGCCTTTGGTGTGCTGAGATGATCATTCTCTGAGCTCAAAAGTGAAGAACATAGGGCATTCCTAGGGCAACTACCATGATCTTTATTAGGTCTATGATGAGAAGGTTCCATGGTTGAGTTTTCAAAGGACAAGATGAAGGTGGATGAGGATGGTGCTGAAGAAGAAGAAGAAGCATTGTTGTTAGCTACATCATGAGAAATGATGGAGCTTGAGCTATTACTCTTGAGCATTTTCCCATGCCTCTCATCAAAGTTTGCATTTTCATAGCTACTTTCCATGGAAAAAACATTGTTACTGTTACTATTATCATGATTATCATCATATGAGAGCATGGTGGTGGTGGTAGAAGAGTTAAGAAATGAGAAATCTAGTGGTTCAAGAACAATCCCAGTGAGGAAGTTATCTTCATTGATGTGAGAATGATCTGTGGAGTTGTCTTCGGCCATTTCCTATGACAGAAAACAAATTAGTGTGAAAAAACCAAACAGAAAGAGTCAAAAGAAGATAAAGATAACATAGAAAAAGTTGAGATTAAGATGTGACGATAATCACATTGATAGAAGAAAAAAAGTGTTTTTTATTGGTGGGTGATTACCAAAGAAGAAATCCAATTTTCCCACGAGTCTTCCATTGAAAGGAAAGTGGAAGAACTGATCTTTTGGCCAACCGAGTCCAAGGTTTCAGTCTTTTAAGGTATACAGAAAAACCTTCATCAATGGAGACAAGAAAAAAGAGACGACCACGTTATTCATGCGACGACAATTTCCACCGTTGGATGAAGTGTGATGATCTGTGGAAAATGTTGTCATGGGGATGCAAACCCTTGTTGCAAAAATCAACATTGTCTTCTTTCAAATTAAGGATGTCAATTATTTAGACATTGGGCTCACTGCATTCTGCATGATGGCAATCATAAGCAGTGAACACTAGTAAGATCTGCTTTATGAGGATCCACCAATTAGATTCTTTTTTTCTCAAACACTTTAAAATGATAGAAGATCAAAAACTATTTTATTACTTAAAAAGGTTTAATTAAGTAAATTTAAATGTTATAAACTAGATATTTACTAAAAATAATTTGTTTTTTTTAGTGTTTAGAATAACGTTCATTTTGGTTTATATATAGTATCGTTTAATGTTATCAAGATAGATATAATGTGGATATTACTTTTGTTCTTTTGTTTTCAACTTATTGATTAATTTGTCTTCTTTCTCCAATCTCATCCGATTCATTGTTAACTTTTTATTGAAAAGTGAATAAATAAGTTGATCGATTAGTGAAAAAAAGATCAAAAAAGAAAAAAAAATTAAAGTACAAAGAATATAAATTTGCTGTAAAATTGCAAAATTTTAAATCACATATATATTTTTTTAGTAACAGTAAAGTGTTGTAAAGAAATTTCAGAAATTGTAAACCGATCACAGATTCAAAAATAAAATCAAAATGAAAATCTTCTAACTTTGAGTTGATCTTGAATTTGTGAAATAATCTTTTGATAATGCAAAAACGTTCTACTTTTGTTGCACAAAAATCTTCTATAACGTATGAATATTGAAGCCAATTTGAGTGTAATTTGGGTTCTAAAAAAGTTAATAAAATATTTTTACAGAGTCAAATATGTATCTTATAATAAAACTTCCAAAGATTATTTAAATATTTTTAACTTTCAGTCTATAGGATACCTGTCTTTCTCTTGAACATTGTTTTTCTTGAATTAGATAAAGGTCGTGTATGTAGAAAACACTATCGCTTAGTGTGTAAGCAATAAATATAGTGATTAATGAATGTCATTAACATATTTGATAAGATGTGTTATTTATATTTCATGTTTATAAGCTTTAACCTATGTGATGAGATTATTGGTTCAAATACATGTTAGTTTCTCACTTATCGTAGTTAATCATAGATCATTGTAATTAAATGTCTTATGTAATATTGTAATAATAGAATAGATCGATGCATCAAGTACATATTAACTTAATAGTCTGACATATATTCGACCAGAGACATATCTATACTGCTATGAGATACATTCTATCATATGTGGGAGAACAAGCCACATATTCTTCTTTACAATTTCTTAACGAAGTTGTCTCAATTTCTAAAAATTATAAAAAATAACACAAGAGTTTAAATCTAGCAAATTATATATTCAAAATGCGAACATAGAAGTGTAAAGTGTGACATCCGGGCACTGACGAGGGCGGGGAGTGACGCCGGTGCAAGAGGCATGGTGCAGGGGGCACAGACAAGGAGCGGCTCCTGGCAGCTTCGGGTGGAAGGGGTACATGGATGAATCGAACATACACCGGAATGAGAGGGATTTGGAGACTGTATAGGTATGGGACTATACAGTTGAAGGATAGCTTAAAGGAATTGATTTGACTACTCATATCACCAAAATGCATTTACTTTTCGGTAGCCTGACTCATAAGAACTCCATGGTTAAGCGTGCTTAGCCTGGAGTAATTCTGGGATGGGTGACCTTCTGGGAAGTTTTCTGAGGACAAAGCACACTGGAAAGCCTGGTGGTGGTCTGTGGGGGCAGTCAGCGGTCCCTGTGAGTTGCCGGGACTTTACATAAAGTCCAACGTAACATCAATCCAAAATAATATCTAAAAAAGAGTTATAACCGAAATAGTAAGTATCCAATTTATTATTAAGAAAATAAAAATAAACCAAAAATAGAAAACAAAGAATTTGAAAAACAATGAAATTATAAAATGTTAAGAAAACATGTGTTAGGTAGACAAAAATAAAAATATTTAATTTATAAGTTAGTTTATATTATATATATGTATACGAAATCATATTTTTGTGTTTTTTTAATGATTAAATTGAAAGTGTTTCATATTTTTACGAAACCAAATTGAAGATTTATTAACCTATTAACTATCTAAGTGTGTTCATATTATTTTATTAAATCGTCTTATATTCTTTTGTTAACAGAAATATATAAATGCATGCTCCATTATTTTTTATTTTGTATAATTTTATATATTATACAAAATTAAGATATAATTAAATATTGTTTACTACATGTATTACAATACAAATTTTAATCATATAAAATATAATATGTTAAAGAAGAAACACTCATGTGTGAAGTTTTTTTAGATTATCTAAGTTACTTATTTAACAGATATTTTTTTCACATATATTTATTTTTCCTAGGATGAAATCTGAAATTGAATGTTATACTAAAAATTATCTATGAACTACTTTGTTATGCCTAATTGAATTTATTTTCATGTGGAAAAGCTAGCACTACCACTGAAAGCTACGTATCATTTACCCAGTGAGGTTAGTACTGTACCAACCAAATAATTGAACACAAATTTCATATCTTTTCTGTTTGAACAAAAATTTAAATTTGGTAAAGTGGTAACTTCTATATAAGTAATTACACAACAGATTTAGTGATCCTTTTCTTATTTCTATTTCTATCAGATATGTTTGATTCTAAATATAGATGTTGAGAAATTTTTAATATACCTTTCACGCTCAACAACATCATATGTGAGGATCAAATTGAACTCCATTCATGAAAGTTAAATTGGTTTGAATTAAATTAAAATTATTTATTACTTTTAATTATGTAGGTTGATAAATTACTCTTTCTAAATATTATGTTGTTCAATAATGCTTGGATAGTTTAAATGTATGATTGACACTTTAATTTTCAATTATTATTTTTATAATAATATTTGATAAAAACAAGTTAAAACTTTGATGGTACTGTTATAAATAATAAGTCAAGTGAATCAACTTTGATGGTACTACAATAAATATATAAAATAAATTGAAAAAATAAAACATTTTTAAAATCTATCAACCCGTAATAAGTTAGTCAAGTTGAACTAACACATTTTTAGCTTAATCATAAGATAAATAGAAGACATAACGTGCTTGGCTGTATTTCTATTTTGAATGGTTTAGGATTTATTAGGCATATGTTAGCTTTTGGGGTCTTTTGTTGCTTTCAATGTCAGATATGTGTGTTGCCTTTCTACCAAAACTTTTCCTTCAATACAACTCACAATTTTTTAAGAATTGAAAAAAAAAACTTTACATTTTAAAGAAAAAATTAAAATAACATCTTATTAATTTTTTTGTTAAATAATTGTATTGTTTAAATAAATGAAGACTGAATTACTAACTTTGTGTTTAGCAAGTAGTCTAATCTGATTTTCAAGATGATAATACAAATATTAAAAATGATGTCGATGAAATCATAAATTTTATACACAGGCAACAATACTACATTGACAAGATCGAAACAAAAATAATGTTTTATTTGGATTAGAAAATAAACACTAAAAGTGTGGAAAAAAAAGTGAGAAGTGAAATTATTTTGAACCGAATTATATAAGTAAAAGTATAAAAAAATTAAATATTTATGTTATTATTGATATTTTAATTTATTATTTTTATTACTTATTTTATTATAAGTTTGATAGTTTTTTCTTCTTATTATTGTAATAATATTTTAAATTTCATTTAAAACGTTGTTAATTTAGTCTACTTTTTAAAATAAGTTAATATAATATCTTTTGTTAAATTAAAGATAACGAATGATATGAATAATAAATATCTTCTAATTAAAAATTAACTTATTGCTAAAAGTAAAAAGTTCATCATATTTTATAAAAGATTTAAATAAATTTTGTAAGGGATTAGTCATCCGCATAAATGAGTTTCACTTGAATAACCTTAAAAACATGTCATCTTAAATAATAATTCATTCATTTAAATCCCAAGCTTTTAGGTTAGAAAGTGGGCTTTAAGCCTGACTCAATCTCACAAAACTGATTGGGGTGTTGCTCCCTCCACCTCCCCAACCTTCTCCACCACCTCCTCAACCTTCTGCAAATATTTTTTAATTACAAAAAAACCCTTTTTTTACCTTTTTACACTTATTTTAATTACTTAATCCTCCTAAATTCTAAGACCATTTCCAACTCTCCTTCTCGCTTCCGCAGCGCAAACCCCTAATCTCTCCAGTCCCTCAGTTTTCTTTTCATTCCCACTTCTCCCCCAACTCTCACACCTACCCTACCTACTTCACCTTTAGCTACTCCTAAATTTTTACACAGAAAATAAATTAAGACAAGTTACTGTTTTTAGTTACTTAAAAAACGCCAAATTGTGATAAGTAGTTTATGTGGTTAATGTTGATCAGAGGTTTATTCTGCCATGGCAATATTGCACAGTCTTGCAGTGGAAAATGGTTGCAATTGTCGGAAGAGGAAAATTTGATTTAGTCGGCCAGTTTTTGGCGGAGCATGGTTTGTTTGGACCGAAGCCACTTGTTTTCGGTTCGTAGACGGTTACAATGGTGAAGGAGAAACTGAAACCCGTTTTTCAGTTCCCGGTTTTCAACCCAAAACAGTTCATTTGGTTTTGTAAGTTCTCTAGGTGTGTCTGTTTACGCATGTGTGACCTTCGTGCCCAATCCATGTTCGATATCATTCTCATGCGTTTTTGCTCCTCCATTAGGGACACAACCCAGTCAGAACTGGTTCGAGGTGCGGATTTTGGTCGGACAAGCGTTGTTTGGGGGGGTCGTCACGAAGCGGACTGGAGGTGACGAGTTGAGGCTAGTAGGGTTGAAAAGCAAAATGCTAGCCCATCCCACGCGGCGTGAATCATAGTCAAACGCGGGGAATGCATTTTCCTAACATAGAATCGGAATAAGGTTAAGATCAGAACAGCTGGTCTGAACTTGGAGGGAGAAAGGAAGGAGGGAGAAAGGGAAGAAACGCAGGGTGGGCGTATT